ACGCCATTCCAGTCTCCCATCACAATCAAAGAATTATAATCCATCGCCACAACTTTCTGATGTAGTTGTCTATAAAATTGTTTTTGAGCTACAAGTTGATTAGGGGCATAAACCCCTATTACTAAACACTTTCTTCCATTTAAGTTTATTTCCACAAATAAATATCTTCCTTCTTTATCAACTTCTTTTAGAACAGGTGGAAGAGCCATGTCTTAAGGGCGCGGTGGAAGGAGGGGAGATCCGGGATCACCCGGATCTCTGGGGGTAGTTCGTTCCAGTCTGTAATAAACAGATTCTGACTGTTTGCAGAATTTAAAACTTCAGCTTGCATCTATTACGTGAGATTGTTTTGTGAGGTCCTCTGGCAAGATGCATCTTTTAAAAATATAATCTTTATATAAAATCACAAATAATTGCATGCACCTCAGTGGGGCCTCCTGATCTGCTTGAAAAGAGAAGCATGCAACAAAGGTTGCACTCCATTCTCTCTCCCCTCACACACCTCATGGTATGAAAACTTAGTACAGGGTGGAGATTTGTGGCTCTCCAGATGCTACTGAACTGCCATTCCCATCGTCCTCGTACCAGCTGTGTAAGATTGATGGGAGTTGGAATTCCATCAATTCTTGAAGGAACATTATTTGTCCATCTTTGGTTGCTCAGTAAAATGGCCCCAAAGCAGGTTGAAGGGACCCCTTGAATTTGGGAAGTAACCAACTACAAGCTCCTTTCGAGAGCAGAAAGACTCTAAATATGTCAGATGAATGGAGAAATGATGCTACTTGTGTCATAATCATTGATGTTTACCTAACAGGAGGTGTCCCAAAAATGCCACCGCATTGCACAACTGGAGGAAGAAAAAGCATCCCTTTGCAAGCAGCTGAAGGAGAGCTGGGGTTACAAACTCCCCAGCCACAAGGAGTTCACCTTCATCTGAGAAGATGCTCGGGGACGGGCGACCATAAACTCTGTGACGCTTCTGCTTCAGTTTGGCTTGCTTGGGATATCACTTTATTTGGGGACTCCAAACGATGGACCAGGTCAAGTCTTTTGTTAGGAAAGAGGCCAACAGCATTCCTGTTCCTATTGCCCCTATATTTGCAGAGGGCCAGGTTTGTTGGAGAAACATCTTGAGATGGTTGATGGTTGTTAGAATGGGAAAAGTGAACATGAGGCTCTTGAGGTTTATGAAAAATAACCCATGGAAGGAAATGGGTCAGGAGATGAATCAGGGATGTTGGGCAACCAAGACAAGGCTCATAACTGTCTTGGTTTCTTACCCTCCTGGGTTTCCAACATATTTCAGATTCTTACTTCAGCTATGAGGTTGAAAACCTTCTCTTATAACAACTTCAGGACTTTGTGCTCTGTAGCTCTGGATCAGGGATGCAGGCACTCAGAATTCATATCATGGCAGCATGTTTTTCCCTGGGATACCTGTGCTGAAGTAACTTCCCTCTGTGTTATTTTTTTTCCAACCCAGAAAAAGAGCCCATACCCATCAAAGGCCTTTTCATTCAGAGACCAAATACGTTGACGATCTCTTTGGTTTACAAATGTTGCAATCTCTCCTTTGATATAACCTGCAAATATTTAACCGTAATTCTGAGTTCTTCAGTTTTATATTTATACCCGAGTGGGGTTGAGTATTACTTTTCTGTAGCTAAGGGAAATGAAACCAAGAGATATTTATGGCTAAAAACAGGACTATGAAGCATGGGCGCATGGCTCCCTGTATCTAGCCTACAGTCTGTGTTAGCTGTGTTTCCTTTCCACGTTTTGGAATATTGTTTCTATGATCCAAATGCTTCTAGATCGGTATTTTTTTTACACATGGCAGTTTTAAGATGGATGGATTTCAACCCAGCATGCTGGCTGGGGAATTCTGGGAGTTGAGGTCCACGCATCTTGCTAAAGTTGAGAAACAGTCTTCTAGAATCTAAATCAATCCTGCACTTGTATTTACAGTCTAATCATTTTCTTTCTGCTTTTCTGATTCCATTTGATATTTTTCTATTACTTTTTTCCTTCTTTTGTCCTCTTTGAAATGGTCTTTTGCTTGTAAAGGAAACAATTTCTTTCTCGTGACCTTCTAAAATTCAGCTTATTTGGTTATTTATTTAGTCAAAGCCCACTGCAATGTGTCCACTCTCTATGGGTCACGATCAATAATTTGCAATAAAACATCCAGAGTACGCTCAGAAGTAAGTGGTTAAAATCTAAAACCACAAGATCGTGTCTAAAACCTGAAATGCAAGGAGATGAAATAAAATTGTCAAGGAATTAATAACTAGAACAGTGGTGGCGAACCTATGGCACGCGTGCCAGAGGCGGCACTCGGAGCCCTCTCTGTGGGCACACGTGCCGTTGCCCCAGCCTCGCCTCCCCCCACGACCCCCTCCTCTCCAGCAGCCCCCCTGGAAGAAAGTCGCCCTCGAGCGTGGCCTACACGGAGCAGCGCAACCAAGGACATGGCAGCCAGACAGCGTAGACAAGACTCTGCCCTCATGCCTCATCCTGCACAGTTGATGCTGCGGGGCGCGGGCAGAGGGTGTGGCCGCTATGGCACTGCTGGGCTGCCTGGGCGATCTGCGGCGGGCCCTGGAGGCGATGAGTGGCCCTGCGGGCAGGTGGGGTGGTGGTGGAGCAGGGGCGGGGCAGGGGGTGGAGCGGGGGCGGGGCTAGTTTTTGGGCACGCGGTCTCTAAAAGGTTCGCCATCACTGAACTAGAAGCTTGCATTCAAACACAACATTCCTCTTACACGATTGACTTTCTAATAAATTCCTAAAACCTAATGAGGTGGGGGCTTCTTGAGTTTCACGGAGAAATGTGTTTCAAAGTACTGGTGCTGCAACAGAGAAATTGCATTGGTGAGCCTACGTATGCATCTCAGTTTCCCCAAATGGATAAATTCCTAGATTCTCCCAGACGTTTTGCGATGGGCAGATTGTACACTAGGGCGTGTAGAGGAGATAGCCCTGGGAGATAGTTCAATTGCTATATAAAATAAGGACAGCCGTGAAACGAAGAAAAAAGAATTATATAGAATCCTTCCTTCTGACTGCCAGAGGAGCCTAACTTAAAAAAAAACACCCTCTACTGACATCCCCAACTACTAGGATCAAATATAATCTGACAGGTAGAACCCCAACCTCACCCGCACCCCGTAAGCACCTGGAGAGCAAGGATCAGTCAGGTGAGCCAGTGTTGGATGGCCCAGATGTTTGATTTTTCAACAGCTGTCTTCTTGTTTTCAAATTGTTGGGAGGCAGAGATGTCCTTTGTGGGCAGGAACATTTGCTAGAATGAGAATCCTAACCCCGAGCAACCATTAGCAGAGCCGGTTTTGTATTTTAACAGCGAGGAGAGCTACAGGTATTCCTCGACTTACGACCACAATCGAGCCCAAAATTTCTGTTGCTAAGTGAGATATTTGTTAAGATTTGCCCCATTCTACGACCTTCCTTGCCACGATTGTTCAGTGAATCAATGCAGCTGTTAAGTTAGCAACACGGTTATTAAGTGAATCTGGCTTCCCCGTCGACTTCGCCCGCCAGGAGGTTGCAAAAGGGGATCATATGACAAACCCCCCTCCCCGGGCCGCTGCAGCTGTCATAAATATAAGCCAATTGTCAAGTGTCCAAATTTTGATCACGTGATCATGGGGACGCTCCAACAGTCATATGTGTGCATAATGGTCACAAGTCACTTTTTTTCAGTGCCACTGCAACTTTGAACAGTCACTAAATGAAGTGCTGTAAGTTGAGGACTGCCTGTATTTGCAAGAAATAAATTATAAAGATAGGCCGAGCCTAGCACTTCGTTCGCTACATCCTACCAGGAGGAGAATTGGAGAGCTTGTGCTCCAGAGGCCTGTGCTAGGAACGGAGGCAAAACGAAGTGACCTCAGATTAGCAGTGTCTTAGGCAAAGTGGGACACAGAGTGAATCATGAACTCTTTATGTCCCATTGCTCCCTTGTGGTCTCAAAGTGCTAAAAAATGACTCTTTCTGTTGGATTGGTGCAGGTTCTCCTGCTTAAGCGGGGGGCTGGACTACAAGACCTCCAAGGTCCCTTCCAGCTCTGCTCTGCTCTGCTCTATTCTATTCTATTTATTCTACTTTACTCTATTCTATTCTATTCTATTCTATTTTCTATTCTATTCTATTCTATTCTATTTTCTATTCTATTCTATTTTCTATTCTATTCTATTCTATTTATTCTACTTTACTCTATTCTATTCTATTCTATTTTCTATTCTATTCTATTCTATTCTATTTTCTATTCTATTCTATTCTACTCTATTTTCTATTCTATTCTATTCTATTCTATTCTATTCTATTCTTTTCTATTTTCTATTCTATTCTATTCTATTCTATTCTATTCTATTCTATTCTATTCTATTCTATTCTATTCTATTCTATTCTATGATCCCAATGCCAAGGCAGTGAAAGAGATGAATCACGATTCAGCGGTGGAACTCTCTTAGCATACAATCGGCTCTTGCTCTCCACAGTTGTTTTGAAGTGCAATTCGACTCTCCTTTGACTCAGCAAAAACCTTCCTGACATGTCTGTTGTCCCCCAGGGTCAGTTCCTAGCCTGACCCTGTCCTGGCTTTTCTATAGTCCACTTGAGTTGCCTCAGGCATAATGGGCGATAGTCCCACAAATTGGGACACTTGCCAATGGCCTTTTGATGCTGTCAAAATACGGTGAGAAAGACTATTTAACTCTGGCAGAGTGAAGGACAGTTGCAAGTTCTCTCCCTTGTGGACAGGTGATCAAACCACAGGAGTGTTGCAGAACTAATTTGCGCTGTGCAAGTGAAAAAAGACCCTAAGATTCTTTCTGTGGAAACCATGGAGAATTCCTGCTGCATGGGATTAATTATTTTTGTTGAAAGTCCGACAGCCGCCTGTCAACCATGCTTTAAACTGGGGTTCCTTGCTGTAGAGGGTGATTCAAAAACCTGAAGAGAGGTAATTATGTGTCTGTTGATTCTACGTTCTGCACCGCTGGCCTGTTTCGCTGTCAGGCTCGGAGCACCGAGCGAGTCATTTTAACATCAATCCTTGGTAAACTTTCTAGTTGATTTCTCCTTCATTAGTTGCTGCCATCCCCACCCCTCTTGCTGGCTTGAATAAACCATTATAGAAAAATCCCAAACCAGTACTGCATTCTTAGTGCTTTCTCCTTTCCCTTCCACCAGGTCCTCTTATTAGGTTTAGGTTTTAGGTTTTATTCAATTTATACCCCGCCCTTCTCCTGGCGGACTCAGGGCGGCTTACAGCAAGTTAAAAAACAGACAAACCATACAAAATACTAAGTTTAAAATACAATTAAAATGAAATATTGATTTTTTGCCGTTTCTTTTTAAAATTATGTTAAAAACCAAATTAAAATCAAATTAAAATCAAA